CTTTATATTTTAGTAAATATTTATATAATATTGAATCATTCATATCTAACGTAAACATTATAACATTTAGGATGTAAATAAAATTATCTGTATATAAATTCTCTCGCGCTCTCGCTCTTGCTCTCTTCGCGGACGGACAGGTGGATCAGGCGATCGCCTTCGAGCGCGACATCGCTCCGGCGGCCATCATATTGTACTTCCAGTGCTCGGACGACGTGATGGTGAAGCGGCTGCTGTCCAGAGGTAAGACCAGCGGCCGAGTGGACGACAACGAGGCCACTATAAAGCAACGGTTGGCCACATTTCACGAGAACACTCAACCCATTCTCGATCAGTACCCGAAGAAAGTGGTCACAATCAGCGCCGAAAGAGATCCCGATGTCATCTACAAAGATGTCCAGAAAGCGCTCGATTCGCTCCCGAAGGCCAAGTGATGGCCGCTCTCCCAACGCATCCATAGATATGTTGACCACAAAACCGAAACAACACTCAAACCACTCAAACGGAGCAATAATTTAATCTCATTTTATCTGAAAAACAAATCTATATTAAAAATATACCAGAATTTTAACAAATTTATTATAATATTTAACACAAAATCTCATTAAAAATTTTAACTGCAAAACAAAACACACTTTTTATTAATTGTTTGATTCATATTTATTGACGCGTTTCGTGAGAACTGACGGATAAAACAGTTTTTCGATCAAAACATCAAATAAATATAATTCAGTGCAAACTTTTAGGTAAAATAAACATTATTTAAATCGTTAATTTGATTCATTTGAAAAAAACTTTTCCTAATTGATAAATGATTTTACTATCAGGTGTTTGATTATAACATCAAATAATAGCTATGGTTTGATCTCACAGTGAAGTGAAGTAAAGTAAAGTGATGTTAAAAACATAATTTTAAAGTATTTTTAATATAAAGTATCTTTAATTCAATAAATATCTACACATACTGTACGGTATATACCGTTATGTAATGTACTGTAGTTTATCATATCGTTCAGTCATTTTCATTGACAGGTATCTCATGAGCAGATGAACAGACACTACGCTATGGTTTTATAACCCAGACATTTAAATAGAAAAAGATTTTTAAAACAAATACCATGTGTTTAACAGTAGTAAAAGTTACGTGAAATTTATTATTACTATACTTTAGTTATAGTAATTTCAAATTTGCGCCTTTTATAAGATGACCACTGATTCCCATAACTCTGTGACCACTAAAAGTGTTTCAAAAAATCTTACGGAAACACATTATAATCGTATAGAAATTAATATGTCTTACGATAAACACCTGTAAGTCTCAACCATAACCCGTCGGACAATATGGTAACTAAAATGCATTTTTATATATTTAAATATCTTTTTTACAGTTCCCACGGCTTTAACGACGGATTACAAGACAATCAAATGACAAGACAATTGTGTCCCAAAGAAGACTCGGACGACGAGATCATATTATACGAGAATGGAGTACAGAATTCACTCCCAATTAGTGACAATATAGCGATTCCGGACGACAAGAATCGGCCAAAATATGTTGACGACATCAAAATAGTGGATAATTCTGGAAAAGTGCCAAAAGCTATAAAAGGCATTTGTCTGACAATAATATCGGCCCTATTTTTCTCGATCACAACCGTTATTGTCAAGTATGTGAAAGACGTGGATCCGTCCGAAATGGCATTCTTCCGATTCTTAGGTAACAATCATTAGATTCCTATGAAATTTCAAATTCTCTGTCTTTCATTTCATTTATACAATCATTAATTTCTTATATAAAATCTTAACATATAATGACAAATAAAAATATAGACAATAAGTTTTATAACTATAAAGTAGTGTATTAAGTTTATTAGGAATCTAACTAGTTAATAATGAAAAGTATTTTTTTAAATTAGAAACAAACATCTGTAAACATGTTTTCAAATAATTCCATAACTCTTTTGTCATATATTGATTGAAAATCACATATTTATTTTTAAAAACGCTCTTTGTTAGTTATGCAAACAGTTTCAATATAAAATTAAAAATAGCTCTAATTAATCAAATATTACATTACATTTACATTACACTTCAGGAATATTACTCTTCACTCTACCGGTGGTAATGGAGGTGAAGGGCAGTCCATTCGGGCCGTCAAAGGCACGGCTATGGCTTGTGCTGCGAGGAGTGGCCGGCGCGACGAGTCTGTACTTCCGGTACAACGCTCTGCACTACATGTCTATAGCGAACGCCACAGTAATCGTGCTCTCAATGCCGGTCTTTGTATTCATTTTTGCCAAAATATTTCTCAAAGAGTCGTTTGGTTTGTTTCACATCTTCGNTAATCGTGCTCTCAATGCCGGTCTTTGTATTCATTTTTGCCAAAATATTTCTCAAAGAGTCGTTTGGTTTGTTTCACATCTTCGCCCTCTTTGTGACACTAATTGGCATCACTTTTGCGTCAAAAGTCGACTTAAGCTTCACTCACACTGACGTACGGCTGTTGGACAGTAACCGTCTGGACAATCACCGGCAGCTAATCGGTGTCGCCTTTAGTATAGGCGCCACTATTGTCGGCTCTTCGGTCTATGTGTTGGTCCGAAAGGTAATTCATATATTTTGTTATACTATTTATTATACGATTTTATTTTTAAAACTAATTTTACAACATTTCTGGACAATTATCTATAGCTTAGAAGTCTTCACCACTCGGTAATACTGTTCAACTTCTCGCTGGTGGCCATAACCGAGACATCTGTGATCACGTTGTTTTTAAATGACTTCAAACTGCCCACTAATATACCGGCCATTAGTGCCAACGCGTGGCTCATGTGTTTGGTCGCCATCTTCTCATTTTATGGCCAATTATTGCTTACGAAAGCACTTCAGGCCGAAGAAGCGGGTCTCGTGTCCATAATCAGAGCCAGTTCTGAGGTATTTAATCAAATCATTATTTAGACATTTAGTTGGCATTTAATTCATTGTTTTATTTGTTTATTTTTAGTTAATTTATTCGTTCGTTTTTCAAATAACAATATTCAAAGAAATACCGGACAAGTGGTCAGTGTTTGGGGCCCTTTTGGTCATGTCGTCGGTACTGATGACAACCGCCAGGAAATGGATTATAACTCTTCCCAAAGATTCAAAAATCAAGAAATATTTTGGTTTTATAACTAAATAATATAACAATATTTAAGTTTCAGTTATTTTTTAAACTTCTTGTATTTAATACTTTTTTAAATATATAAAATTTCATATTTAAAAATTCAATTTAGTATAATATTTATATTGTCTTTATTTACACATTATTCAACAAAATACAATTGAAAAATCACACATTGAATATTATCTTAATCAATTTAAAAAATTAATTTGCAACATGATTGAAAAGTTATTTTATTCTTTATTATCTTTACTGTGAATCCATTTGTGATAACTCGTGAGTAATATAGCAAAGGCCACAACAATAGCGCCACTGATTGTCCAGACGTCGGGATTATTATTAAATATAAATATCTGCCAAACAAACGACAGTATAATATCTGTGGCCACTCTCACCACAGCCACCGGTCCCGCCATTTCTGCCTGAAGTGATATCGTTTGAAATATTTGGGCCACAAATGATAATATACACAATAGTGAGCATAAAATGTACTCGTCCAATGATCTTGGTAGTGAAAAACTATTTAAGGCGGCAGTGAATATCAGTGTCTCAACGACTGAAAACCAGCCGTAATTAAACAATTGGATTGTGTAATGCATTGCTAAATATGGTTCATATAAAATATAAAAACGAGTTATTTATTTATTTAAAACATTTTGATAATACTTTTAAGTTTGCGAAGAAGTATATAAGTCGCTGATATGCAGAGGGCTGAAGACAAGGCGGCCGACACACCGTAATAATAGTGATCCGTCCGGTGGCCGAACTCATCATCCATGGCTTCAATAATGGCAGTCGAGTTACCAACAAATAGAGACTCCGTTTCCATAGACAACATATACACCAATTTAGTGGTGAGGGAGAGACCAAACATTGTCATTAAGACCATCGATGTCTGAAACAGACCGCACGGCTCCTACAGTTATGCAATATATGTAATGAATTATATTAGAATGAAGTATATAGATGATTAAAACAGTCTAGGTAACATTTTAAAAACACAATATGATAAAAGACATTTACATTGAGAAATACAAAGGCCAACACCGATGCAAATACGGGTATAGATTGTAGTATAGTATAGGCGTCGGCAAGTGGTAGGTATTGAAAAGCATAAAACTGTAATAACAGAGAAGTACAACCAAAAAAGCATCTCAATAATAGTGGGAACCATAACCTTTGGTAATCAAATACATTTTCACCATGTTTTACGACCAAGGGCAGGTTAAAAATAAATAAGCCAATAGAACGATACAACGATAATTGTTCCACTGACATATCCTGATAGAGTTTGGCCACAATTATTATTTAATACTTAATCATATTATTTTATAATTTATTTATCTGTTAATATGCAGCATATTATTGCTAATATGAGATTGTTCAGTCATTTATTCATTCATTGCTTACCTTTAAAAACTTGACAATAACTGCCGAGAGTGAGAAGCAAAGCGCGGACAACATTGACAGTGTTATACCTTTATATAATAGCCACTTGTTTGATTGAACATGGTCACCAGATTTGTTGTTAAATGCATCTAAATTTAAGTAATTAATGTCTCGTATATCAATATGATCGTCAAAACATTTATTAATAGTTTTGAAACTCTCAAGATGATTATGGTTTTGATCATGTTTATCTGTCGAGCCGTACATAAACTTGTATTGACCCGACATATCGTATTGTTTATTTATAATAAAATACAAATATAATTTGAATTTTTACATACGTTAAATAATAGCATTTATTTAATGTTTTAAAACTTGATTCTTTAGGTTTAGTCGCAATGTATATAACATTATCTCTAATATTTTTAAACATAATTTCATAAAACATTTTCATAGAATTATTTTGACAACTGATAATAATTCATGTGTTTGAATGACATATCAAAACAAATAATTTAATGAAGGGATAAGTGTGAAAAATTATAATATGTAAGTAACTTATAATCAATATCTAAATCTTAGATTATTGTAAATTTCTGTATATCTTATTTAACACTCTTTTAACTTATAATTTATTAATTACAATATAATTTATAATAGTTGTATTGTATTCTACAAATTATTTAATAAACATCAAATCAAAAAATTTACAAGAGGATGATCTTAATCAATTAACAACATTAATTTCCATCTTAGTTATTTTAACTTATTAATCCAAAAAAAATTATTTTATTTTTTATTATCTTTACTGTTAATCCATTTGTGACAACTCGTGAGGAATATAGCAAAGGCTACGACAATAGCGCCACTGATTGTCCAGACGTCGGGATTGTTGTTAAATATAAATATCTGCCAAACAAACGACAGTATAATATCTGTGGCCACTCTCACCACAGCCACCGGTCCCGCCATTTCTGCCTGAAGTGATATCGTTTGAAATATTTGCGCCAAATATGATAATATGCACAACAGTAAACATAAAATGTACTCGTTCAATGATCTTGGTAATGAAAAACTATTTAAGGCAGTAGTTACTATCAGTGTCTCAGCGATTGAAAACCAGCCGTAATTAAACAATTGGATTGTATAATGCATTGCTAAATATGATTCATATAAAATAAAGTATTTATATAAACGAGGTATTTATTTATTTACGACTATTTGCTAATACTTTTAAGTTTACGAAGAAATATATACACCAGTGATATGCAGAGGGCTGAGGACAGGGCGGCCGACACACCGTAGTAATAGTGATCCGTCCGGTGGCCGAACTCAACATCCATGGCCTCAATAATGGCCGTCGAATTATCAACAAATAGAGACTCCGTTTCCATAGACAACATATACACCAATTTAGTGGTGAGGGAGAGACCAAACATTGTCATTAAGATCATCGATATCTGAAACAGACCGCACGGCTCCTAAAGAAAATGTTGCAATATTTAGAGAGTATTGTATAGTATATGGATGATTAAAACTAGTTCATATTTTTATGACACAATATGATAAAGGTCATTTACTTTGAGAAATAGAAAGGCCAACACCGATGCAAATACGGGTATAGATTGTAGTATAGTATAGGCGTCGGCGAGCGGTAGGCATTGGAAGGCATAAAACTCTAACAACAGAGAAGTACAGCCAAAAATGCATCTCAATAATAGTGGGGACCATAACTCTTTGTAATCAAATACATTGTCACCATGTTTTACAACCAAGGGCACGTTAAAAATAAATAAACCAATAGATCGATACAAAGATAGTTGTTCCACTGATATGTCCTGATAGATTTTATCATGATTATTATTTGAAACTTAATTATATTATTTAATGTAATTAATATGCAACAGTTAGTTAGCCATATGATAGTTAGCATACAGTATATCTCCGATAATATGGAATAATTTGCTTACCTTTAAATACTTAACTATTACTGCCGAGAGTGAGAAGCAAAGAGCGGCCAACATTGACATTGTTATGCCTTTATATAATTGCCATTTGTTTGATTGAACATGGTCACTAGGGTCTTTATTAAGATCATTTAGGTCTACATAATTAATCTCTTGTATATTAACATGGTTGTCAAAACAATTATTAGTTTTGAAACTCTCAAAATGATTATGGTTTTGATCATGTTGATCTGTCGAGCCGTACATAAACTTATATTGACCCGACATATCGTAACTCATATTTATAAAAAACATAAATATAATTTTAATTTTTACAATTATAACATTTATTCAATGTTTTACAATTTTAATATTTAGGTTTATTTGCACCAAATGTAATATTTTTAAAATAGTTGAGTACATAAATGATATTTTTTCATAAATCTTTTTGACAAATGACAATAATTCATGTGTTGTATAATTAAATACAATTTTAAAACAATTCATGTGATGAACGAATAGATTAATACATAAAGTCTCTCTCAGGTGTGAGAAATTCTGGTTTGCAGAATACGTAAGCCATAATGATTAGCTTTGTATTGCAATATTCAATCATATTTTGTCCTTGATACAAATGCTTATTTAATAAACATAAAATTAATTCTGTCACAATTTCTGTATTAATTTAATAATTTAGCTTTTGTTTTAGTCTCTCTGCTTTAGAGTCACCCTCCTCATTCAAACACAACTACAGCTCATTTCAAAAATTTTACAAAATTTATACTAATTTTAATAAATAATTTTTTAAAAACTGATTTCATAGATAGAATTCGTCAAAGATTTATAGATAAAATTGTAAAAACCATTATATTTTCATGATTTAGCTTTCGGTTCAGTATCTCTGCTTTGAAGCCATTTATGAAAAGCGGTTAATAGTATGCAAATGAAGACAACAGTTGCGCCACTGATTGACCAAATGTCGGGAATTATATGAAATAACGTTATGTCAAATACAAATGATAGTATAATATCAGTGGACTCTCTAACCACAGCCACGGGTCCGGCCTGTTCTGACTGCAGGGCCAAAGTCATCAACGCTTGACCACTAAATGAGAGTAAACCCAACGATAGGCTTAATCCCCATTCAAACAGTGTTTTAGGCATTGAAAACCCGTTTACTATTGCAGTCATGATTAGAGTTAGGATTATTGAAATCCATCCGAAATTAAACATTATTATCGAGTAGTGAACGTCTAATTGATATAACAAATTAAAATCAATTAAATAGCTCTAGATTATACACATAATTGTAAAGATTATACACAAAACTGTAAAGGTTATAAAATACCTTTTAATTGGCGAATGAATATAAAAACTAATGAACCGAAGAAAGTACAGCCAAACGCCGCTAACACTCCGTATAAATGATTGTGATTTGATGTATGAATTGTATGTAATAACTGTTGATCTGTTGTTGAATTGACAAAATGTGTTGAATTCTGTGACATTGGATGTGCTGTCGGCTGAAAAAATGTGTCCAAACATTTGGTGGTAAGAATGACGCCAAACATTGTCAACACTACTATTATTGTCTGGAATATACCGCACGACTCCTGAATGTAAACTCAATTTATTAATTATTATTTGAATTGTTGATAAAACTTACTTACTTTAAGGAAAACACAGGCAAACATTGACACAAACACTACTATTGAAAACGTGATAATCGACGCGTCGACAAGTGGTAAGAGTCTGAAGGCATAGAACTCGAGGAATAGTGATGTGGCGCCCGATATACACCTTAAGACCAATATATGCCGCACTTCTTTCGGACCAAATATATGGCCACCATTTTTAATGACCAGAGGAATGGTTAACACAAATATACCCACAAATCTAAATACAGCCAATTGTGAGGGAGAAATGTCCTGTAAATTGTGACATTGTTTGTTTTAGTCTTCAATTATTCTATCTTTGTATTTATGACTTACCTTTAAGTACTTGACAATAACCGATGAGAAGGCGAAACAGACTGCACTTAAGATTGAGAGTATAATCCCTTTGTGTAATCGCCAGCTAAGCAAAGGACTGGTAGTCTTCTTCCCGTCCGTGTCCTCAGTATTTGCCGATATTTTTAAATTTTGATTAAAAACAATAAATACCTTATAATTTGATTCAATTGATAATTTTCTCTGAGTATACATTTGTTTATAAATTTATTAAACAGTTTATTACAAATTGTATATTTCTGTATATTTCAAATAAATATAATAAAATTTTCTTAAGAAATTTTGCTAATGAATTTTGTCACATTTGATAATTTAATGTTTTTTCAACAATAAATCTACATTTATTACAAAAATATGCTGCATATTAATAACTAATTGTAGGCAAAACATAATGTTTTTCATAAATAATAGGTGTAATCAAAGATTTCATAGCATTAAGCTCTATTAAATTGTGTACATATTATGGTTTACACCTGTAGTTAATGCAAATTATTCATAAATATTCTGAACAAATAAATTTAACCGTTAAAAGTAAATTATATTACCATTAATAATAAGGTAAAGAACATTATATTATTAGGACAACAATACTATCAAGTACTTTCTTGGTAAACAATTTTATTTGCATACTTTAATTCAGTGAATTCAATTTTAAATATATTTAGATTAATATTTAAGTAATTCTATTATTATGATTAAAATAAGTACAGAAAATATTATTCAAGCTTTTTTTTACTTTATAATTAATAAAAATTCATTGAAAATAAATTTTTTTTTTGTAATTTCATATAAAATTTACAATAGTTTAATGAATTTGCATTTTAATCTCTATGTTATTGTTATTTTATAATTTTGCAAAAATAGAGATAGAGATAAAAATGCCAATTCATTATACAATTGTAAATTTAATATAAAATTACAAAATAATTAAATTTATTTTTAATTCATTTTACTAGCTTGTAATCATCATGCTAGATTTAGTTCATTTTTAAGTGTCAATTATACGTAAAATTTTTATGAAGTTTAGTATTTTTATAAATTAAATGTTGCTCAATAGTTTTCCAATTAATAATAAATTTAATGATTGCATTAATAGGAATTTTTCACAATATTTGCTTTGAATGCAAATATATAAATTATTTTAATTAATATTTAATGATGCTGGGTCTTTACACAAACAAATTATTTTATTTGTCAAATCAAAATAACATTTAAAATAAGAACAAAGAAATTTATTTTGAAAATATTTTGTATATAATAATAAGTTTGGCCAAAATTTACGCCTCACTGATCCAAACATCTAACCCTTGTGTTGTAATTTAAACAATTGTCATATATTATTCAAATATACTATAATATACACTAATATAAAAACTATATTTAAAAAACGTCTTGGTGATTCAATAATCATGTCATATTATTTCTTATTTCACCATTGCTTGTTTAGAATACAATTGAAAATTTTAAAGCAATAGACTTATAATAAAAAAAATAATTTAAAATAATTGGTTTATTTGAGGCTAAATTCTTGAAACACACCATTGCATGGGTTAGCCCTACAAACCCGCAGCCGTTTAGCCGTTAAATTCATGACAATATTAGCAATAGTACAAAGATTGGGTGCCGTCGACATGTCTTCCCTTCCCTTCTCTGGTGTGTGAGCGCACAGTGAGTCCGGAAAACCCAAATGATTTTTAAAACAATCGGTAAAACTCTTCTCATCAATAGTGCCCAATCTATTGAGTAACTCTCTTTGCATCTGTCGGTCGCGGATTAGCGATGAGCTGCAGTTATACGTGTCTTTGACGGATCCGTTGGCAAAGAATGCATCGGATTTGAAAAGATTGCTATGAGTTATGATATCGGTATCAAAAGGAGGGTAAGAGACGAAGTAGTGTTTGGGTGTCATCTCTATATTGAAGGCCTCGCCCTCAGCCGACGCCACAGTCATATTGACGGACACATGTCTGGGGGCGACCATTAGTCGCAGGATTGCCACCGGGAATGTGGGCGCCTCCAGAAACATACGTCTAAATAGACTAATTGGTATATAACCGGATCCGCTGTCTTCGCCAAACACATCATCGCTGGAGAAAATACTCATTCCAGTGATGCCTACAAATGGATACAAAAAATATAATTATTTGTAATAAAAATTATTGTATATTTCATATATTAATCTAATAACTAATAATTACCAAGTCCATTAGCATTCATACCGCTGCGGCCCAATTGTCCCACTTCTGTAAGCATAATGAAAGGCACCTTATTCTCGGAGGGGTCGGGATATACTTCCAGCAGATGCAACATATCTTCGGCTAACATACGCTTGTTTTGATCCCAATTCTGTCCCATCAGGACATCACCCGATTGTGTAGCCTTTGATAGACATACGGCTGAAGTGCACTCGTGTGGCGCTGGAGGCAAATCTGCCTGTTTATCCTTTGAGACATTTGTCAACTGCTCTCTGTTTTTCTTAATGAGCTGTCGGTTCCACTTCATCAACTCATACCTGGCGTTCAATGCAATGATGTCCTCGAGTGAGACCTCAGCGCCGGCCGCTATACCTCTCATCTCTTGGAGACCCGACGGGAAGTATTTGTTCAGAGCTTTTACATAGTTTTTATTCATAAACTCTTCCACTTGTGTCCAATCGAGAAGATGGTAGAGTTCTTTATAATAGTTTATATTCTTCACAATCTTCTCCTTCAACTGTTGTCCATAACTGTGTCCACGAGTGTATGGATCACCTCTTATGATGATGTGTCGGATAGTCTTCTGGTTGTTATTTGTGTCCAAATTGGCAGACATTGTATTTATTTGTTTTTATTCAGAAAATAACTTTTACTATTACTGAAATATAATTGTTGACTAAATTGACTTTAAAACAATCAGTTTTATACCATTAAAAATATCAAGTTTATTTTATAGTACCTACGCTACTATTTCAAGGCAAACTGCCCAGGGACAATTTTTAGTACAATTAAAAGTATTTTTAAGTTTTCAAACTTAACTTTCTTTGTCAATGAATTTAATACTTGATATTTATATACAATTCTCTTATAGGATTGTGCAATTCATGTTTGTATGCACTGCAATATCATTAAACGCACTGCACTTTTATTGTATTCCATACTATTGTAATTAAAGTTAAATTAAAAAATTGAACTGCAATTAAATGCATAAAATATTGATTTCACTCAATTGTATTTTTAAACAATTCTTTTGAATTTTGTAATTTTCATTTACAATTTAATTCATTATATTCATAATGATAGATTGCAATTACATTACAAAAACTATTTTCCATTTTCCACTTTATAAATGTATATAATTAATAATTATTAATTATCAACCCATACTACAATGATTATTAATACATTATAAAGTGTTTATTTTTAAACTAAAAATTTTTAATTTTTTAAATTTAAAGTAATTATATCATAGATCTATAATATAAAGTAATTAAGATAAATGTCAAGATTTATATAACTACTACTAAAGAGTTAAACATTAAATTAATTAACTCTAACGCAGATATTATAAAGAATAAAATCATTTTTTAAATTGAAAGTTTTAATCAAAACTATATTCTTGAAACACGCCATCGCATGGGTTAGCCCTACAAACCCGGAGCCGTTTAGTCGTTAAATTCATGACAATATTAGCGATAGTACAAAGATTGGGATTTGTCGACAGGTATTCCCTTCCCTTCTCTGGTATGTGAGCGCACAGAGAGTCCGGAAAACACAAATGATTTTTAAAACAATCGGTAAAACTTTTCTCATCAATAGTTCCCCATTTGT